TATATCAGTAGGTTTCAGTTAAGTGAAATGTCCCATTTTTTTTAAATTATTTGATGCCTTGTCTTAATGTCTTCAAACTTGTTTTATTGTGTTCCCGATTTCCTTATAATCTAGTCATGTTTTAATGCTTCCAGGTTTCAATCATTAAACTTGTTTTATTTTTGTTTATGCTTCCCGGTTCCACCAATAAACTTGTTTTATGCTTCTGTGAGGCTTCCATGATGTTTTTGTTTATGTATTGTGTCTTTAGCATTGTTGTTTATGCTTCAGTGATGTTTAACGCTCTGCTTCCTGTATATGGTTCTTGCAGAACCTACTTGAGGTGTACAACTCGGAGAAGCGCCAGTTGGACTTGCTCAAAATCAAACACAAACATGTTCAGAAGGCATTCATGGGATCTTACGATCGGTTTAGGGCTCTTCATCGTCACACAATCGAGTTGAGGAAAGATATGGCCGCCTGTGAGAATGCATTGATGGAAGCAGAGCAAGATTCGTTGGACTGTGGAGCAGCTTCCCGTGAGGCCGATAGAGAGATGGCGGAATGCATAGAGCGCCTGAAAGAAACCTCTGCGAAGATGGGAGAAAAGTGGGAAGTGGTGAAAGGATTCTTGTACTTAGGTAATGTCCATGTTTGCTTTGATGTGTTTTTAATTATATGGTTTACTTTATCTGTGTTGATGGTAACTAATAGATGGTGTTTGCGTGTGTTAAGACTAAAACGGAGGAGGAGGCGTGGAGCAAGATAGGAGCAAGAGTTTCTCTGCGTGCCGGCCTGATTTACTTGTTGTTGCCGACCTCTTGTTTGGGTCTTTATGTGAAACTCTGTTTTGGTCTTTTTCTAAAACGTGTATTTTAGTTGCGTCCGCCAATCCAAAACAAATATCAACCACTATTTTCCTTTTTATCTTTCTGCTCTCGGCCAGAAAACAAACAACTGTCGGCCACATGAAACTCTTTGCATCTATTATAAAATCGCACTTTGTAATCTTTTTCATTATATAAAACCTTCTATCTCTTTGCATCTCACCTCAAACTCTCCTCTTTAAACTCTCCTCAAACTCTCCATTGCACATATCTTCAAACTCTCCACTAATACCTCTCTTCAAAACTTGTATTCCATTCTTTAAAACACCAAACATAAAAATGGCATCATCTTCCAACCATCCTTGGAACATCCGCTTGATCAATGATTATTTCAGTGAGAATGCTATCTATCCCGAGGCCATATTCCGACGTCGCTTTCGGATGAACCGACCATTGTTCATGCGTATAGTTAACAAGCTATCCGACTTACCCTTCTTTCAGCACATACCGGATGGTACTGGAAAGCTCGGTCTGACCGGCTTACAAAAGTGCACGCCGCCATTCGTATGCTGCATATGGCAATGCAGCTGATGCAGTCGATGAATACCTCAGACTAGGAGCGAGCACTGCGCTGAAATGCTTGCATAAATTTTCAACGCAATCATCTGTTTTTACGAGGAGGACTACCTCAGAAGGCCTACACCAGCAGATCTCAAACGATTACTCAAGGTCGGAGAGAGCGTGGATTTCCTGGCTCAATAGGAAGCATTGACTGTATGCATTGGGAGTGGAAAAATTGTCCCACGGAATGGAAAGGAAATATGCACGGGGTCATGGAAAACCAACAATCGTTTTAGAGGCTGCGTCGTATGATCTGTGGATTTGGCACGCATTTTTCGGACCTCCAGGTACTTTAAACGACATTAATGTTCTCCACCGCTCACCCGTGTTTGATGATATATTAGAAGGTCGAGCTCCTAAGGTGTCATTCTCTGTTAATGGACACCAATACAAAATGGCTTACTATCTCACAGATGGTATATATCCGGAATGGTCGACTTTTGTCAAACCAATTCCTCAGCCAGCGGAACCGAAAGCAAAATTATTTTGTGCCCATCAATCGTTTGCCCGCAAAGAAGTTGAGGCGCTTTTGGAGTCTTACAAGCTCGATTTGCAATTGTTAAAAACCCGTCTCTTCAATGGATAAGCAGAAGATAGGGAATATAATGAAGGCTGTATCATATTACACAATATGATTGTGGAAGATGAAAGAACGTTGAAACTCAGTATAACGAAACGGAATTCAACAAAGGAGGAGCAGACGGGAGCGGGTCTTCACAAGTACATCCCTCTGACCTTGCCATCGAATGTCCACAATATTATGGCTAATCGAGCTAATATTCATGATCAACAAAAGTATCACCAATTGAAAGCTGATTTGGTTGAGCATATTTGGAACAAATTTGGTTCTTATTTATATTTTCATATGTTTTAGAACATGTATGTTTGTCTTTGTTTTTTCTCTGTATGCAGTTTTTCTCGTTTTATATGTAATATATGTTGTATTTGTCTTTTTAATAATGTACTCTAGTTATTATGAATAATTTTATTTTCTTTCATTTTATAAATACTTAAAAAAAATATATTTTTTAAAGAAACCCATATGGAGCTCTGTAATGTTGTGGCATAATTATCAAGTTTCTTCCCAAATCTCTTTAACTAAAATAATATTTTTTTTAATATATTAAATATGGGAAGAAACCCATATGGGTATGTGCAATGCACATGCTCTAATTGGTTCGATGGAGCAATCTAATATGGGGATAAAGCTTACGGATAGTTCTTTAACCGAGCCTCTTGGAGAAGTGAAGGATATTCCACTCGACTTTGGAGGATACATTGTTTCAGCCGACTTCTATGTAGTAGTTATACAAGATCCGGAAGACCTAAGTCTTTTGCTTGGAAGAACTTTCTTGGCAACAGTTGGGGTAATCATGGATTGTCGTAGTAGAAGAGTCTTACTAGCCTATGTGGAAAAGGATACCTTCTAGGATGCCGCACCTCCCAGATTCTCATCAAAGCGATTTCGCTACACTAGTGAAGGAGAAAGCGCACAAGTGAGAGGTCAAGCACATGGAGATCCTACAAGATGAGGTGCTACTGGATTCATCAAGCACTAGGAGATACTTGTAGCCTCCTTACATACTTCACACCTAAGAAACACAAGGAGTCGAGCTAAAAAAGACTTCAAACTAGCGCTTATGGGAGGCAACCCTTTTTTTAAGAACTTCTTTATTGTTTTATTTATCTATTTAATTTTTTTGAGAATTTTATAAAATCTAAAAAAATACCAAAAAACTGTTTTAAGATCAAGTACCAAAGGAGACTATACACGGATTTTGCATCAACCAAAAACTGCACCACCATAAGCCGACTCAAGAGAGCAATGTTTGACATATGGAGTTATCACCCAAGTCCCACCCTTTTTCAATGCATCAAAGGTGCCAAGGGTCATGCCCCTGATCTTCAAGAAAACGCTAAGGCATAACCAAACAAAAGCCTTTGATCAAGAGATTCAAGGTAAGTAATCCCTTCTCTATCTTTACTTGTCATTCACATACTATAAATTGATTTCAATTTGGTTAAACTATTTATAGAACTTGGGATCCCTAATCAAGACCTAAAATATTTTTATAGTTTATACCATTTAATCTTAGATTGAGAATTTGAAGATGATCACTTGGATATATCGGTCTAAGACCGCATCTAATAAGTGAAATTAAAGTGTTTTGGAAGGACTGAATTACTTGACAGAAAAGATAACAAGAAGAGTAGTTGTTACTGCACAAACCAAAAGTGGCGGTTTCTAGGCGGTTTCAACGGAGACACATACCAACCACACGAAACAAGGCGAACTCGACCTGGGTTTGACAAAGAAGGGATTAAAAAAAACCAATTCGGCCGAAACGGGTGCCAAGGCCAACCATCATCGACCATCTCCCAAACCGCGTGTTCGAAGTCCACCAAACTTCACAAGCATCTCCAATATGTCATTTTGGTCAGCAAATTTTCAAGATAGGACGAAAAATTCTTCACAGTTCAAGACATACTCAATTTCGCCCTATCCTGTCGGAAAATCCAACATCAAGCAAAGGCGCGGAAACCAACTGAAAAATACTTCTTGAAGCTTAAAATATCACTTTTCCAGAAGAAGATCAGAAGATGCACGAGCCAAACATCAGACGGTCCAATGAAGATGTTCCTGAAGGCGATTTGACCACCTAATCAAGCATCTCTCAAACGGTTCGTTTGAATGCTCTCAAACTTCACCACATGCCATAGAATATCAGGTCGGTTGGTGAAATTTCAATATGGTACGATGAATTGGTCCATAGTATGGTCAACCAAAATTGCCCATACTTGACCAAAATACCACCCGAGAACGAACCAAGTCTGGAAGTTGAAAACTCACCAACTAATAATGCCTAAGGAGAGCTTTGCATCAGTTAGTTAACTCCTGGAGAATCCATTAGAAGAAAAACAGATCTTCATACCTTTTGGTAACAAAATCCCGAAACTATTTTATTTTTTTATTTTTCTTTCACCTCTCTTAATTTGATTTGCTTACATTGACATGGTGCAAGTTAAGTTTGGGGGGCTTACTATTACTAGAAATTTTGTTCTTTTTGGCTTTTTATTTTTCTTTGAGTCGTTTTATTGAGTCAAAATTTTGTCAGATAATTATGACCTATTTCATTGTAACTAACCATGTTATGCTAATGCTAAAGTGACCATTGAAGCAGTACTTGGCAGTACACCTTACGGCATGCACACCGTTAGCAGATTGATCCACCAAAAACGCCCACATCTCTAAAAGCCTATATATGGAGGATCCATCTTTGGCTCTGCACCTAGATGAACTTAATCTTCTCAACTAGGGGCTTGGCATACAAAGGGCATGACTCCTCATCCTTACCAACAAGAAAAAGTCTGTGTGGCTTCGGTTTACCCTCTCTCCCCTTCAATACAAGAAAAAGCATCAAGGTCCAAGTAACCAGGGATTAGCTGGCAACCACCATCAATACTCGCGTCTATGGAAGGCTTATGGATCTAAGTAACCTGGGATTAGGTGGTAACCACCATCAATAATTGTGTCTATGAAAGATCCAGCCAAAGAAATAGAATCTCTAAACTATAAAGGAGAAGAAGTCGATAGAAAAATTAAAATGCTACCCTTATAAAGGAATGAATCGACTTGAAGAAGTGAGAAGAGGGAGAGGAGAAACAAGAAGTAAAAGATTTATAAAAAAGAAAAGGATGGGTAAGAGTCTATGAGCCTTTTGATCGATATTCCCTAGATGAGACCACACTTTAGCAACTAAAGGAGCCAAAGATGGTGAATTCAGATGGTCCTATGGAGTGTGGATTGCTTTGGGACGATTGATAAACTCACAGTAAGTAACTCTTGTTCTTCATCTAAATGCCTATTCTGTTTTTATGTGGATTACTAAAGTATAAGACAACTTGGAGTTTCAAGGGATTTGAGAGTTCTCCTGTTTTCAAACCACTCTTTCCTTCTTAGTTTTCTTGAGGACAAGCAAAAGGTTAAGTCTGGAGGAGTTGATATACTTATACTTTACATGTTTTTATTAAGGTTTTAAATATATTTTCTAACAAAATAATATGGTTTTTATGTCTAAGAGGAAGTTTTCTTGTATATTTTGGTTTTCAGAATCAAATATGTCAAAATGGCGAAAAGGAGGCAAAATGGTGAAAAAGGGCATCATACCATTATCCAATCAAGTTCCCAAGACAAGAGCATCAATCAAAACTCGTAGAGCTCGATTTCTGCAATCGAACAGAACCGGAGCATCAGAAGTTTGGCCACGAACAAAGGTCTTCCAGACATCCAAAAATCATGATCTTGATCTTGCTGGATATATAAATTAGTCAAGCATCACGCCGAAGTGGAATGGAGCCATTTGGAGTTCCCGTCAGGGAAATACACCCGTTTTACCGAGACTTGTCCGTTTGGCGAACAAGAAAAGCTCACAGAAAAACTTGGTGTACAAATGGACCGGATTCACTTCCGGCTTGAGCCTAAACCTTTCTAGAATGAAGCCTGATTTCTTCTAAACGATTTAGAGGCCAAGAAGAAATGGAAACTTTCGTCTTCTTGTTGCGCCTAAACTAAGCCGACCTACTCCTCTCTTCTTCTATACATACTTGCTTTTAGCCTCTTGTTTAGATATCATTAATTTTTTTCATTTACGTTTTTCATTGTACATATTTGCATGTTTTAGTTTGTTTATGTCTAGGAGTAGAGGTCTCTCTCTATGAAGGAGCCGCAGTTTGATTCTGTCTGCCTCTTTTCATTAGATCTATGGGATTCCTTCTATCTTTCTAGATTCATTGTTGAATTATGAATCATTCAATAAGGACATGACATAATTGCCTTTGAGAATCGGTTGTGAATTAAAGGGAAACTTTGTGGTTCTCCATCTTTATTTACACATAATGCTTGTTGCTGGAGTAGCTAACTAGCGACTTGATCCTAGGTTAATATACTCTCTAAAAGCTTGTTATATTTCCAGATCTAGTATTTGATAGTAAATCT